AGCGTAATCCTGCCGTAATCCCTTAAAGCCAATAGCCTCGCGTGGCTATACACATGGTGATTATATTTCTAGAAGGGTCTATTCCCTTTGGATAGGATAAACCTGGTTACCTGATGTACTTTGGAAGTATAAAAGCACCTTGTACTGATTGATAGTGCAACATTGAGCTAAACCTCATTCGATCCTGTGACACCCGCCCCCCCTCTTCGCCACTGTCTACTTCCTTGTCACCCGCCTCCCTAATCGCCTAGCCCCTGCCCCTGACGTGCTCCTTGCTTGTCACCCCTCTGAGCTCACCATTGACCTCTTCTCCACCTCCCTGACTTAGATAGAGGACCGCCTCCGCGCTATCGCCGGTTCCACTGGCGCGCCGGCAATCCCTATTTTTCAGGGCAGCGCTCCCTCCCCAGTGACAATCCCTGCCTCTGCCTCTGTAGTTGAGACAGCAGTGGCTGCCTCTGCCCCGGGCCGCTCACCTGGTGGCAAGGGAACGGGCAAAGGGGGCAAGGGTCGTGGGGGGTCGGCAGCAGCGGGTGGAGGGGGTGAGGGTGCGGACGGAGAGGGTGGTCAGTCGGAGTCGGGGACTGCATACCAGCAGTAGCAGCAGCAGCGGCAGCAGAAGCAGCAGCCACAGCAGTCTTGGGGGCCGGCGGGCCCTGGGAGTGGTAGTCGTGGTGGAGGCCGTGGGGGTTGGGGCCCTGGGCTGTCGATGCCCTGGGGGTCGCGTGGTGTAGGACCTATTAGAGACTCTTCACCGGGCCCCGCCTCGTCGGCCCTCTCCTTTGTCTTAGACTCTGGAGCGTCTCGGTGCTTCTTTCGAGTTAGTACTGCTCTCACCCCGCTTCCTACGCCTGTCCGCGTAGCACTAGCAGACTCCTCCGCCACCGCTGCCGCACGTAGCACCACCACTCTCCACTTTCCGGCTGTCCCTTCTGGCTCCCTCACAGGTCTGCACATCTCCTCGTTTGCTAGGAACTTAGTGGGTGTCGATCACCTCCAGGACCGAGGCATCACCACTATGTTCCCTGGCCGCGAGAGACACGCCGCTTGCACAGATACAGTCACTGGTCAACACTTAGCTACCTTTGAGCGTGACCCTGGATCAGGTCTCTTTACCCTGCATACTGAGTCCGTGCTCACTGCTGCGTCTGCCGAGGTCGCCGCGTCCTGCTCCTGTCGCTCACTAGCCCACCCGACCCTTCTGTGGCACCACCGCTTAGGTCATCCTGCACTCCCGCGTCTTAGGCACATGTCCCTGTACAGTCTAGTTACTTGTCTTCCTGCGTCGCTCCCCACCTTGCCTCCGTCGGTAGCGCCACTGTGCACCTCCTACGTCGAGGGCCGGCAGCGTGCCGCCTCTCACTCCTCCTCGTTTCCTCCTACCATAGCACCACTACAGACACTGCACATGGACGTCTGGGGCCCTGCTCTGGTCCATGGTCTCTACTTCCAAGTCGTCGTTGACGACTTCTCGCGGTTCACCACAATTTTCCCGTTGGAGCGGAAGGCCGACGTGCCGACCGTTCTCCTCCCATGGCTTCTCACTGTTCGCACCACCCACCGACTGTTTGTAGGTCGCTTACACTCTGACCGTTGTGGCGAGTTCGCCTCTGGCTCCCTATGACGGTTCTGTCGTGCGGAGGGCATCCGCCAGACGTACACACTGCAGGACTCCCCACAACAGAATGGGGTCGCGACACATCGGCCTGATCATAGAGGTGGCTCGCACCTCCATGGTCCACGCCGATGCGCCCCATATTCTGTGGCCGTTCGCCTTGCGCTACGCTACTCACCAGCTTAACCTGTGGCCGCGTTCCCAGCGACCACTGGTTTTGCCGATCCTCCTTTGGACTGGGTCTCCTGGTGACGCGTCTGCGTTCCACGTCTGGGGAAGCCTTGCTCACGTCCGCGATACTGCCGCGGACAAGCTCTCAGCCCGCACTCTTCCTTGTGTCTTCTTGGGGTTCCCGCTTGACGCCTCAGACTGGCTGTTCTACCACCCCTCACACCACCGTTTTTACCACTCTCGTGACGTCACCTTCGACGAGACGCTCCCCAACTACCGGCGCTTCCCGCACCGCAGCGCTCCTGTGCCTCCTCCTCCTCCTCTCTTCCTTGTCCTTGCCCCCCCTGCCGCACCCATCCTACCCCGCCCGGCCTAGTCTGGTGTCTCCCACGCCACTCAGTTCCCCTCGTTTCCCCCTATGGGGGAGTCGGCTGACTCTGGGTGCCCAGCTGCTGGGGGTGCGCCTGCTGTCCCTGTGGCGCCTCACCCAGCCTCGATCCCCCAGGCCCCTCAGCCACCTGCTCCCTTGCCTCGGCAGTAGCAGCCGTCGCCGCAGTAGACTCCACGGCCGCAGCAACAGCAGCAGCAGCAGGGAGCAGTGGGCTCTGGGGGTGCTGGTTCTGGGGGTGCGAGTTCTGGGGGTACTGACTCCAGGGGTGCTGGTTCTGTAGGTGGTGAGACCAAGGGTGCTATTCTTGGGGGTGCTGTTTCGCAGCGTGCGGGTGGCAGCTGGGGTGCCACTGGAGGTCTTAGAGCGGGCAGGCAGCAGCAGCAGCAGCAGCAGCAGGTGCAGCCTCCGCAGCAGGAGCTGCCGCAGTCTGCCCTTCATCTCCTTGGTCTTGCTCCAGGTTCCCCTGTCAGCCCGCCCGTTCCCCCTCCGATGCGTGACCCTGCTTACGGCCCGTTGTTTCCTCCTCCGGACTCCTCTCCGACTCGTTTCCCCCCGCGCTCCCCTCCGTCCCCTGACCTGTCCCCCGTCCTCCCTCGTCCCCAGTCCCCAGTTCTTTCCCACTGGGTTCGTTGCCCCTCTGGTGCTCGTCCTGTCTCTCCCCGTCCTAGTGTCCACCCTATGCTCCTTCGTTGGTGTGCTCCCCCCGTCACAGTCCTCCCGTTGCCTCCCCCGTCGTTGCTACCGTCATCCCCCCCTCCTCGCTCCGATGCTATTCGCACTGCTCGTCCAGTCATGTCACGCCTGCTTGCATTGCTTGTCACTGACCCTACTGCTCCTCTTGAGTCTGTCTCCGCGCTTGCCGCTGCTGTCGCTGACTATGCTGCTAGCCACCGCCTTGACTACGCTGCCGCTCTGGTCTCTGGTACTGTCCGTCCTCCGTCTGTCAGGGGTGCACCTGCCCTTGGCAATGACGTGCTAGAGGACAGGCAGTACGAGTTGGCCTACCTTGCTGCCGCTGTTCCCCATCTGTGCTCCATGCTTGTATCCCTAGAGGACAGGCAGTACGAGATGGCATCCTACAGATCCATTGGCGCCTACGTCGACGCAGTTCCCCCGCCTGGGGCGAACGTAGTCGATGGCATGTGGATCCACAGGGTGAAGCGCGCACCTGGAGAGTCGCCGAAGTTCAAGGCGCGCTACGTGGCTAGAGGCTTCAGTCAGCGTGAGGGAGTGGACTTCTTCCAGACCTTCTCCCCGACCCCGAAGATGACTACTCTTCGGGTCCTTCTTCACATAGCCGCACAGCGTGACTACGAGCTTCACTCACTCGACTTCTCCACAGCATTCCTGCAGGGTAGTCTGCACGAGCAGATCTACCTCCAGCGCCCTCTAGGCTTCTCCGCGTCCTTCCCACCTGGGACCCAGTGGAGCCTGTGCCGTCCTGTCTACGGCCTTCGTCAGGCACCCCGTCAGTGGCACGACACGCTTCGCACCACTCTTGCTGAGCTGCATTTCTTTTCGTCCTCTGCTAACCCCTCTCTCTTTGTTCGCACGGGTCAGACACCGTTCTACATTCTAGTGTACGTAGACGATCTTATCTTTGCTACTCCCGACTGAGTCGCACTGGCCTCAGTAAAGGCCGAGTCACTTAGGAGACACACCTGTACAGGCTTGGGGGAGCTGAGGCGCTATCTGGGCTTGGAGATCTCTCGTGACCGTGCCGCTCGCACGATCACACTCTCCCAGTCCCATATGGTGCAGCAGATCCTCCAGAGGTTTAGTCTCCAGTTCTCCTCAGCACAACCCACCCCCCTGCCTGTGGATCACAAGCTCTTTGCTCCTGTTCCGGCTAAGCCGGTCGAGGCTAGTGGTCCATACGCAGAGCTGGTGGGGTGCCTCATGTACCTGATGACGTGCACTCGACCAGATCTAGCATACTCTCTCAGTCTCCTGGCTCGCTTTATCGCGACAGGCAGGCACCGACCAGTCCACTGGTCGGCTGCCAAGAGGGTACTGCGGTATATGGCGAGCGCATCAGGACTGGGGCTTGTGCTAGGAGGACGGGAGCGAGTGGTGCTCATTGGACACACAGACGCGTCGTGGGCAGACAACTTGGAGACGCTCAAGTCGACTCAGGGCTACTGCTTTAGTCTTGGTGCTGGTGTAGTCTCGTGGAGGTCCACCAGGTTGTCGTCTGTAGCTCAGTCTAGCTGTGAGGCGAAGATCTACGCTCAGGAGCTCCGCTGGCTGACGTTCTTGCTCACTGACTTAGGTGAGCAACCTAGGTCTGCCCCGATCCTGTTTGCTGACAATAGGGCCATGATCCTCTTGTGTCAGGAGGCACGACTTGAAGGCAGAGCGAAGCACATCCAGCTGCGGTACTTCCTGCTGCGAGAGTTGCAGCAGCGCAATCAGGTCCGTGTCGTACAGTTGGCCTCAAAGGCCAACACCGCTGATATCTTCACCAAGGCACTTGCGACTCGTGACCATCAGCGGTTCTGTACTCTGTACATTTCACATTTACAAGGTAGGTAGTTCCTGTAGGCGCGCACTGTATGTGCTTACCGTATGTCTAGGTCAGGCCCCCAAATTGGTTTTGGGTCTGTCTGATTCGTCAGAGTCCACTGCATTCCCTTGGTATGGGTGTCAGAGTTGCCTTCTTGAAAAAGTCTGAAAAATCAGAGTAGCCTTCAATTTTTTGTCTGACCAATCAGAGTCATAGCCAAACTTTTGTATGAGCCTTTTTTATGGTTCTTCATTAGAGAATGCACTACAATTCACTACATGCACAGAATCAGTCAATATCCTGCATATCTTGCTGCGGTGCTATCGGCATATCATTATCATAATCTACTTTCTCCTTTCCCTTCCTGCTACTACAAGACTCGGGGAGGGCGTTGCTAAGGGGCTTCCTCTTCTTATAAGCCCGCCAGATGGAGACCACCTCTTGCCAGTCGGGGTCATACTCTAACTGCGACATGCACATCAGATCTCCTAGCCTAGTATCCTTGAGAGCCCCCCGCAGCCAACTCTTGATGACGTTCTGGCGGGAGAACCCGCGCTCGCACTCGACAGTGCTCAATGGAAGGACAGCCACCGCCACCCACAAGTTGACCAGGTTGGGGTAGCTGTCCCTCCAGTCCTGCGTCTTTAGCATGGCGCTCAGCCCCGCGTGGAATGACCTGTCCGCCTTGGGAAGCGCAGCAAGGACGGGAACGAAGTTGCGGAGCTCGCTCTAGGCTTTGCCCTTGTCTATACCTGATCAGACAAGGGCACACAACACAAGGAAACGGAGAAGGGTTGGGTTATCTGAATCACTACACAGGGTTTACGAAAAGACATGTGTCTTGTTTCATATACATTGCGAGAGGGATACTGAAAGGAGTAAACAAATCTACCTGGCAGAATTTCGTCCCTGTCTTCAGCGCGGTAGATGACCACGAGCGAGTTGAACCACTCGAGGCACTGCGTCCTCCGTGCGTGTCGGTCCCAGTTGGGCGGCCATGTGTCAACGCTGAACAGGCGCGCTCCCGACAGCTGCCGCAGATCGCCTAGGCGCTCGTCGAGGTTGCGGACCAGGCCCTCCGCTAGAGCCATGCACGCCACGACACTCCCATCGTGGTCGCTGGGCCCCGGGTAGTCCTCTTGGGGCTCTTCGTGCAGCTCGAAGGTGAACCGTGAAGGTCGGCCATCGGAGTCAATCCCCTCCACTGTCACTAGCTTGGACTTGCCGGGCCCGTGCTTGGCGAGGAACCGCGTCAATCGATCGTTGGGCCCGCCGGTGAAGTCGTCTCCGCAGTCCACGTAGCGGCTCTCTAGCAGCGAGGTCGTGCGGATGATCTGCGTGTGCACCGTTGTGTAGTCCAGCTGGTGGGTAGGGGGGCGAGGAAAGCAAGGGCATCACAGAGGGATGTGTGGTTAAGGGACGAGCGGCAGAGACGAGCAATATCGACATGCATAAAAAGTTGCAAACACAAGCATTAAACATATTTACCTCCCGCTGCTGAAAGACCTTGTTGAGCACGTTCAGCAGCTCGAGCACGTCGGCGAGGAACATCAGGAGGAGCCAGAAGCGGTAACTGGTGACGAGCGCATACAGCTTGGCGTCGTACTCCTGCAGCATGACCATGATGGCTGGTAGGAGCTCGACCAGGCGGATGACAGCATCTCCGCGCGACAGCCAGCGGATGTTGTGGATGCCCTGGAGCTCGGGGTTCGTCGACATGAACACCTCCTGGAGCTCGAAGAATCGTTGATGCCAAGGGTTGGAGCGACCGAGCAGCTCAGCGATCTCGCAAATGATGCCGTCAACCATGCTGAAGACAGGGATCTCCTCAGCAGCAGCCTTTGCCGCCAGCGCCTCTCTGCGTGGGATAAGGGGATGAGATGCAATGTAGGAAGCAAATTAACGATTGGAATTATAAAAAAAACAAGCAAATAAACATGACATGCACACAACAAATGGTTGACGAACCGATGGGCAATGCAATGGCAAGAGAAAAGGTGCGGAACGCGAAGACGAAGGCGGGCCACAAGTCCAGAACGCGCTCTTATCATGACGGCAGCGCCATCAGTGCTAATGCCAGAGATGCGGCCGAGGTCGACGCCAATCGCCTGCAGATGGGACAACAAGAGGGCGAGTAGCGATGCCGCATCCACCTTCTCCACCGTCAACAGAATCAGGTACTCGGTTACAAGCCGCCCTTCCCGGATGAATGTGGCAAACACGATCATGTGCTTGCCACGGCAACGATCGGTGATTTCGTCGAGGCTCAGGCCAATATAGGGACTCGCCAGCAGGTGTTGGAGTTGAGTCGTCTGTAGCCACGTGGCCGTCGCTTGTGTCAGTTCGCCGAAGCCGTACTTGTTACATGACACGCACAGTGCAAGTTATTGTAAGTTTCATATCTAAAGACGAAACATAGCGAAGTTCATAGTCACTGGAGTTCTCACCAGTTATAGTACGTGCCGTAGGCAGACTTCGGGAAGCCCTTGAAACTGCGCGATGAGAGGTATCGCACCAAACGAATCCAAGTTTCCATGGGTTCGTTACACTTGGCGCAGAAGTAGAGGGAGTCGAGCAGCGCGATGACTCGCTCCTTCTCTTCGTCGGCCGCGCGGGGATGCAGGTCGATCCGCTGCTGGTTAGACACCTGTTGCAGGAGATCGTCCTGCTTGGACATGGCGAGGCGATGCTTCTGCATTCCGGCGTGCTTCTTGAACGACTGTGTCTGCACGTCCTTTGCTCCCTTGCCCGATTTGCCGGTACGCCCTGCAGGTCCTGCATGCACTGCGCATACACTACACTTGAAGGTCGGGAGCCCATCATCAGTTTTCAAAAGCATGAGCCAAGGGAATATGTTAGACCAGCGATATTTGAAACACTCTTGGGCCTCAACATAGATGTCCTCGTTCGTTCTAGCAGTGGACCTACCGCCAGACGATTCTGGCAAGTCCGCATGTACAAAGGGGCTCGGCACAGGCTCAGGCGGATCCTGGCATGTCGACGTTGAGGCGTACGGCAGAATCACCTGCCTGTACCGGAACCTCTTCGCCGCCGTCACCGATGGCGTGGTGCCGGCGACAGGAGCTGAAGCAGTGGGCAGGGGGCTTGCATTCGCAGACTTCTTGCCCGCTGCATCGGGAACAGGTGCATCGCCATCAGCAGGGGCAGCGTCACCAGGCTTCCTCTGAGGGCTACGATCTGAAGCATCCGACTGCCGCAGGAACTTTAGTGCGGCCGGACCATCGCGGAAATTCTCGGCACACCAGTACTCTTCGTCTTGTTCGTCATAATCTGCCTCGTCTACGTCCTCATCGAGGTCGACCTGCTCCATGGCCTGCAGGGGCGCGGTGGGAAAACAAACGCACTGAAAGAAAACCGAGGGGCTACACGAAGCTTGGCTGAAGTTTTGCTGGAGGGGGGAGAAGCAGGGGTCGTTTTCCCCGTCAGTAAAGAACTGATGGAGAAGGAGGGGGTCTGCCAGCTGCAACTCCATCGCAGCGCGTGAGATGCTGTCCATGCATGAATGAACCAGGCATTCGTCACGTCAGCATGGGTGCGGTGCCTCGTCTGCTGTGCCTCACCCAGCAAAATGCCTCAGGATTGGCGAAAACAACCGTGTTTTGGTCAAGGACCAATCGGCTGCTCGGGCTATCTCTGTGCTGGCGCCATCGCACAAAATTTGCCCGCCCGACGGCTCGGGCCGCGCCAGCGCAAATGTAATTCTGGCGTGATTGACGGTGACGACAGAGGTACCAACGCAAATCTCGCAAGCCCCCCTAAAATGACGGTATTACAGGAATCAGAGTCCCCCCCCCATACAAGGATGAAGCATCAGAGTACACTTGTCATAGAAGTCTGAAAAATCAGAGGAGGTACATAAAACTCCTCTGAAAAATCAGAGTAACATAGAAAAAAAAGTCTTTGGAATCAAAGTACACCCCCAAAAAAACTCTGAAAAAAGTATGAATCAAAGTAAAAAGTCTGCAATTTGGGGGCCTGGTCTAGGTGCATATGGTACTGGTGCTAGGTAAAGCTTGCATGCAGAGGCATGCAGCAAGAATGTACTCAGCACAGAAGGTGCACTAGATTAGGGAGAGAGCGTACAGGTTTGCACCTGCACAGCTCCTTCAAAGTGTGCTGAGACAGACAAGGGTTGATTGCAACAGCAGTGATCAATCAACTCTTAAGTATAACCATCAACAGAAGAGATCATCCAGATCTTCAACTTTTAGGCCCTCACAGCTCTAAAACGGGGACTGGCTACTGTGTGGCCATCTGCGTTACCAGAACTCAGCATAGTTCTGGCACCGGACCTCCAAGCAAGCATCCAGATGCACAAACGAGCAGATCTCCCATCATGAAACCACATGCCGAGCCATGACATGCCTTGCCTTGCCATACCTTGCCGCCGCTACACCACGACCACAACTACAGCGCATGCCGCGACTGCAGCCTACAGCGCGTGCCCATCGAGGTAACTTTTGAGCGCGCTGCTGCGCCCCGGCTGCCTCAATTTCAGCAGCGCCTTGCCTTCAATCTGCCTCACTCTCTCCCTGGTCACCCGGAACAGCGACCCGAGCTCCTCAAGCGTCTTCACGCGCCCGTCGTCCAGCCCGTACCGGTGCCACATCACCTCCCTCTCACGCGGGGTGAGCGTGTGGAGCGCGTTCTCCAGGTCCTTGCGCATGAGCTGCTGCATGATGCTGTCCTCGGGGTTCTCGAGAGTGGTGTCGGCCACAAACGCCTGGAGGGGGCAGCATGGGTCGGGTGGGGGAGGGGGCGGAATGCGCAGGTCAGCATGCATTCACATTCGCAGACTTTTGAGTCAAATCAAAGGTCACATTCCCATTCACACGTTCTCGAGGTCCTTGCGCATCATCAGCTGTTGCATGATGATTTTTGAGTCAACTAAAAAATCATCAGCTGCTGCATGATGCTGTCCTCCGGGTTCTCCCAAGGTCGTGTTGGCTACAAAAGCCTGGAGAGGAAGGAGGGGAGGGGGGGGCGAGAGCGACAGTGTTAAAACGCAGTGTTTTCCAGGTCCTTGCGCATAAGCTGCAGCATGATGCTGTCTTCAGAGTTCTCTAGGGTGGTGTCGGCGACGAAAGCCTGGGGGAAACGTGAGGGAGAGCAAGAGGGAATCAGGCGGGTGGGCAAGGTTAGAGGGGCCTTGCGCATGAGCTGCTGCGTGATGCTGTCCTCGGGGTTCTCCAGAGTGGTGTCGGCCACAAACGCCTGCAGAGGAGGGAGGGTGAGCGAGCAGGCAATGCAGGCTCAGTTGGGCTCTGACTGTGCGCATGATGCTGCGCAGCTTGCCCCACGCGATCCCCACCAGCTCCGCCACCTCACTGTCCGCCGGAGCCCCCAACGCGTATGCCCATGCGTTCCCTCACATCATAACACGCACGGGTGCGCATGATGCTGAACAGCTTGCCTCGCGTGATCTCCACCAGCCAACAAACTGACCTGACCTCCCTCCCAACCCGCACCACTCACCCCTAGGGTCTCGTCGCCGTCGTCAGAAGCGATAGGCCGGTCCATGGAGGTGGGCGCGCGCACGGTGCGCATGATGCTGCGCAGCTTGCCCCGCGTGATCCCCACCAGCTGCGCCACCTCTCTGTCTGCCGGCGCGCGCCCCAACGCGTCCGTCAGCATACTCTTGGCGCGGTTGATGCGCGACACCAGCTCGTAGATGTGAGCCTGGGGGGGGGGGGGGGGGAAGGGAAGGGAGGTTAAGGAGAAGGGAGGGGGGAAGTGGGGAAAGGGAGATGAGAGTAGGGGGGGGGGGGTCGTGGTACAGTCAGCATGGGCTTGGCGCGATTGATGCGCGCGACACTGCCACACCCATACACGGTAGAATCTTAGAATCACACCCGTTACCGTCACACCGGTCCCAAGCCACTCACCGGCAGTCGCACAATCCGGCTCTGCTCAGCAACAGAGCGGCTGATCGCCTGGCGGATCCACCAGTGCGCGTACGTGCTGAACTTAAAGCCCTTGCTGTGGTCAAACTTTTCCACCCCCTTCATGAGCCCCATGCACCCCTCAGTGATCAGCTCTTCCAGCGACAACCCCCGCGTCGTGTATTTCTTCGCCACGGATATCACCAGCCGCATGTTCGACGCGATCATGCGCTGCTTGCACTCCTTCCCCCACGCCACGCGCGCCTGCACCTCCGCGGCCGCCAGCCCCGCCGCCTCCGCCCACTCCGCGCGCGTGGGCGCGCGCTGCAGCTTCTCCTCCAGCGCTTCCCGCACGCGCTCGAGTTTCAGCAGCGCCTGCACCCCCTTGGAGAGGTCAATCTCCTCCTGAACGGATAAAAGCTTCGGGTTACCACCCGCCGTGTCGAACATCGCGAACACCGATTCGTTCGCCGCGCGCCGAAACCCTTCCGCAACCGCCGCGTCTTCCGCCTCCGACTCCTCCTCCCCCAGCGCGAGCGCCGGCCCTTCCGCCGACGGCTTCTTCCTCCCCGCGGTGGCGGCGGCAGTGGCCGCGGCGGCAGCGGCGGCGGCGGAGGTGGCCTGGCGCTGCAACAGCGCCTTTTCGCGGTCCGCGAGGCGCTTGCCCTTCTTCTGCGAGCGCACCACCACGCGCTTGGGCTTCCGCTCCGCTTCCCCCTCTCGCTCCGCCTTCCGCTCCGCATCCCGAGCGCCGTCCTCCATCGCGCGCTCTAGCCCGTGGTACGCGGCGTCTTCCGCCCACATCACGATCTCCCCCGGATGCGCCACATCCCCGCCCGCATCCCCGCTAACCACCACTTGAGCTACTCTACCCGCTTCCGCTTTCTCCGCACCCGCTGCATCTCCCGCTTGTCGCGCCGTTTTTTTCAAGCGAATGGGCTTTGCGGTGCGTTTCACGGCGTGAGGTTGCTCGCTGAGACTCGTCGCCGGTAAACTGCCCTGCTCGGCCCGATCTACGGCGGTCTGGATAGGGCTACTCGGGTGCGGCGGGTCCTGGTCCTGAGGGAGATAGGCAAACGGCTGGACTGAGAATGGTTGGAACGGGGGAGGCTCGACTGGGGACGGCTGGACTGGGGAAGGTGGTTGGATAGAGACGGAGGCGGAAGGGAGGGGGAAGTCTACGCTTTGGCTGTCTTCCACGCCGCTGTCCGAGCCGCGATAGGAGCCGAAATGCGAGACTTTATCGACGGCTAGGAGCCACATATGGTGCAGCTGATCGCTGCTCATGATCTCGTCCGCTCCCTCCTCCTCTAGCTCCCCCCATCCTAGCAACGGCGCGCTTAGCGGGCTGTCCAGTGGTAACCCGTCGTCGTCGTCGTCGCTAAGGCCCATCGCCTCCTCCGATAGAGAAAGCTCCGCGGCTTCCCTCGCAACGGCTACCGCTGCGCGCGCGAGCGCAAGGGCTTCCGCCGCGGCTGCGCGTACAGTGGCTGCAGCGGAGAGTGTGTCCGCAAGCTCTGTGGCGCAGGCGGAAGAAGGGGAAGCGGACGAGGCGGAGAAGCGCGAAGCGGAAGCAACCGCAGAGCCATTGACATGACTGCGAGTTGGAATGATGGGAGATGGGTCAGAAAGAGAGGAGAAACATCATATTTCCATGATGAAGGAAATGCGTCAGGGGGAACCTGGTACTAACACAACAAGCATTGATCTGAAGCCACACCACACTATGTGGGCCAGGACTCGCGTGCTCCGAAACGGGAAGAAGCCAGAAACGGCTTACTGTTGGGATGAGCTCGAGAGGCCCGAGTGCAGGGTTGTCCGGGGTGACGCCGCGGATACGGACGCCGGATGCGCGGAGCTGGCGGCCAGAGGCGGGCCGGCGGAAGAAGCCGAGCTGGCGGAGGCTCCGGGAGCCTGCGCAACTGGCGATGCACGTCGGAGAGGGGTTGCTGACGTGGACGAGCTCAAACACGGACTTGACCCTGAACAGGAGATTCGATAGAAACACGTGGCAAGTGCAGAGTCAGACATCGAGGTACCGACAGCCTGATAGTGCCAGTCACGCGTAGAGGAATCGTCTGCGTAAAGTGAACAAAGCGTCTGGTTTTGGTTCCTGCTGCTAAACCCTGCATTCCAATACCTGGTCTGTCAGCGGTCACGCGTTCCAGGAGGAACTTGCGCTGGAATGAGGAGGCGGAAACGGCCATCAGGCGGAATCCAGGTCCAGACGTACAGCTCCAAGGTCAGGCAGTCCACTGGACAAACAGATAAACCCTGCTTGCTAGTGGTAACTCCAGCAGAGCTCAGGGGAGGTAAGGGAGACGGGAGAGAGCAGCTGCTGGAGCAACCTGCAAAAGAGAATTGAACTATCAAACATCAGGATTTATAATCCCTCTGGGAATTTCGTGACGAGCGGCACTACAACGGGAGTGGAAGGCTGCTTCGGGAGGAAATGCATGGCAAAACTGCTTCCACACCGAACTGTCTGTGACTGTAACGCGATGCAGCGAAAGTTCATCCTGGTTTGCCTGTCGCACGGAGCCTTCGCCAAGCTTCGTTCATTCGAGACACACTGAACTTGGTGATCGTGGCACGCCCACATACGTTGAACAATCACAACGTCGATAGATCTTTGCCGTTCGAGAAGGATCCGACGGCGAAGAACTGAATATCGCTGTCCACGCTGGAGTGGTCCACGCGTTGGCCTATCCGCATCCACCTTCACTTCGTCGCGCTGGAAATGTGAGGAGTGACGTGGAATGACCTCCTTCTGGGCTGAATCCGAGCAAGCGTGGCAATCGAAGCAGACACCCTGGCGCGTTTTCCGTCAATATTATCATCATGTACACTCAATACTGTGTGTAAGGGTAAAACAGCATTCACATCTACAAGACGCTAGATGTTTTTTTACTCATAAAGCTGCCCAACACGTTTACCAGCCAAATCTGATCGTTTGCAAGAACACAACTTCAAATAATTGAAACAAGGGTTGACGGTTAAACCCTGCCTGAAGGGCGGCTATAGCAAAAACTACCGAGGATTATAAATAATACATTCAACCATGTCCTAGGAGCACCGTTGTAATAAATCATAGGTCAGGGTGCCTCCCTCAGGAGTCGAAGTCCCACCCACCAAGATCCACCATGTTCATATCTTCCAGCGTCAGCTCAATCTCCCCTGGCCACTCCACCTCCGTGGCACCCACAATCATACTCTCCAGCCCAGTTACAGCAGCAGCTTCCGTTACAAGATCCCCATGGTTACTGCCCTTCACCCCATCCACTGACCCACCAGCAGCAAGCATCCCAGCAGTTGCACCCAAATCTGAGCCTGAGGGGTCTAGTGCATGATGCTGCTGCTGCTGCTGCTGATGGTGATGATGGCGATGATGGTGATTATGATGGTGCTGCTGCTGGCTATGACTGTGGTGATAGTGCTGCTGCTGCTGCTGCTGCTGCTGCTCCAGCTCTTGTGGTGCAGCGAGATCATCACTTTCTGGCTCAGCCTTCACATACCCCTCCACACCCACCCCAACCCCTCTGAACCCCCCATCCACCTTCACATCCCCAACCTCCCGCCCCACGCCCCCAAAATCCCCGCTCCCTTGCCGGTCAGAAAGCAGCTGGAGCGAATCTTTCCGGCTGCCCATGCCGCTGCCCATGGGGGAGGGCTGCGCACTCCCCTCCCAGACCTCGTTTTCCGAGCCAAACCCGTCATCCGCACCTCCGTACCCAGCCTGCCCCAGGCTCTGCTGCCCTGCGCTCCTGCTGCCGCCCTCATCGTCCTCGTTGTTGCTGTCTGCCGCCCGCCCCATGCTGCCCGTGCCCACCGACGACGTGACCTGGCTCTCGCCCTTCTCCTTCTTCAGAGTCTGGCGCGGGGAGCAGACCAGAGGGGAGGGGTTGGATGGGGGAGACGAGGGGGTCCCTTGTGGGGTATTTCCAGCACGAGGGGGGGGCGAGTTGGGCGTGGGTCACTGAATAGCATGGGCACAGCCCCATGCCCCTGTGCCCACCGACGACGTGACCTGGCTCTCGCCCTTCTCCTTCTTCAGAGTCTGGCACGGGGGGCAGACCAGAGGGGAGGGGTTGGATGGGGATCGCCTCCTTTAGCATGGACGCCAAGGTCTGGGTTGCACGCATTTGGCACCAAATGCCTGCCCAATCAACCCATGTGGCACCTCCCCCATCCCCCCTCCCCAACACACACACTCCCACTCCCTCTCCCCCCCTCACCTGCACTTGCTCCTGCAGCGTGCGCACGTATTGAATTGCCTCGTCCAGCATGGACACCGTGTCGGCGTTACAGAAGTCTAGTTTTGAGGCGCCTCAAAACTATTGAATTGCCTCGTCCAGCATGGAGGCCGTGTCGGCGTTATAGAAGTCTAGTTTTGAGGCGCCTCAAAACTATTGAATTGCCTCGTCCAGCATGGAGGCCGTGTCGGCGTTGCGCGTGTGACTGCCCAGCCAGCCCAGGAGCTCCTCTACCCCCCCCCTCCCCCCCCCACACACACACACTTTCCCTCACCTGCACTTGCTCCTGCAGCGTGCGCACATATTGAATCGCCTCGTCCAGCATGGAGGCCGTGTCCGTGTTGCGCGCATTCGGCACCAGGTCATACAGCGCACGCATGCGCTGGCTGATGCGGTCGCGCCGCAGCTGACGGGGGCAGTCAGGTCAGGAAAGGGCGGAAGCAGATACATGAGAGGGCTGTGCGGCACATAGATGCGGGCAAACAGATGGGCACCACATCGTACTGCGCGCGCATGCGCTGGTTGATGTGGTCGTGGCACAGCAGGGGGAGAAGGAAAGGGAGATGTGGGGAAGGGAGATGTGGGGAAGGGAAACGCAGGAAGGGTATGAGGCTTGGGGAAGGCAGGCAGCACGCAAGACCATGCAATCGTCTCACCCCTAGCTGCCACAGAGTGGGGGTCTGTGGCCGTCCCCCTCTTCTGCCTCTGCTTCTTCGCCTCTCCCCCTGATGCCTCCCCCTGCGCCCCCCCACTCCCCCCCCCAACAGCGGCGCCAGCAGAAGCTGACCCCCCAGCCGCCCCCCCTCCCCCCTTCCTCCCCCCTCCCCCCTCCGCGCCCTCCCCCCTCCCCCACTGTTAACCCCACTAACCTGCCCTGGACTCCCCCCACTCCCCCCCCCAGCCCCCTCCGCCCTCCCCCTGCGGACCCCCCTCCCGCTCCCCCAACCCCCCTCCCTGCGCCTCGTCCCCCTGCCCCATGCCCTCGTCCCTGTCACTCTCCCCTTCCCCCACGTCACTCCCCCACGCCCGCTTCCTGCAGGGACTCTCACCCCTCATTGGACTCTCCCCCCTCAGGGGACTCTCACTCCTCATCCTCTCTCTGCTGCCATCCCTGCTGCTTAACCCCCCCCTTCCTCCTGCTCCCCCTCCCGCGGCCCCCCCTCCTCGCTCCCCACTCCGCCCCCTTCCCGCTTGCCCCTGTGCCCCTGACCTTCCTGGAAGCTGCGGACTCCTGCCCGGCTTACTCGACCCTGACCCCGACCCCGACCCCCCTTCGAAAACAGAGTTGGCAAACCCGTCACCTGGCGATCCACCTGACGACGTGAAACCACCTGGGCTCTCCCCCCACCCGACCGCCCCGACTCCGTGCTCAGGGCAGGACTCAAGGTCCGGGCAGACGAACAATTCGACCCGCCCGGCGCCCCTCCTAGCCCCCCCCCACCACCAGGGGTACCACTACCCCCTGCCGCGCCACCCGGGCTATTCCCTAGAATCCCACTACTGCGGGCGAACTCGAGGAGTTGCTTCTGCTCGGACTCAGGCAGCAGCGAGCCCCCACTGGACGTGCGGATATGGGAGAGCGCCACACGGCTGCGCTTGCCTGAGTTTTCAAACACCTCGGCTGCGGGCAAGTCGCCTATGGGCGTGTCTAGCGGCAGCAGCTCCAGCCCCACATGCCACCCTGCTGGCCGGCCCTGCGCCCTCTCCTTCTCACTCCCCCCTCCCCCTCCTCCTCCTGTTCCTGCGCCCCCTCTTGCTGGCAGGTCGCTACTAGTGCCAGCCCCAGGGTCCTGCTGGGACCGGCCAGACGGGGCAGCGTTAAGGCTGGACGCACGGGGGGCACCTAATGAGCCGGCGCCTCCTAGAGATCCCCCTACGGAGCCCCCTAGGGGCCCTCCCTTTGCGTCTATGCCACGGGAGCCTGATGCTCCCAGGGAGCCTTTTTTCAGGGAGAGGGAGTTGAGGCTCCGGGAAGTCATACCCGCGAAAGGATTCTGGCTGCTGCCCGCAGCCGCTGCCCCCCCCGCTGCCCCCGCAGGGCTCATGGCAGACGAGATTTTCGTTCGGCTGCCCGTGACTTCGGCGGCTGTAGCGGGGCTCATGCAGACTGAGCTGGATTGGCCAGACTCTGACGTGTCAAATTCCAACGTGTCCAGATTCAGGCCAAAGCCAGCTATGTTAATCCCCCCTAGAAGATCGTTCACTGCACTCGACTGGAGATTAAAGATGTTGTTTTCAGTGCTCTGCCTGACACCTGCTCCTGCTGCTGCTGCTGCTCCCCCTCCCCGGCTTTGCCCCGTACCCGGCCTACTTTGAGCAGACTCATCTAGTGCCCCAGCTCCATCCACTCCCGTACGCCTCACCCCCCCATCCACTTCCATATCCCCTCCCCCATCCGCTCCCCCCCCCCGCGACTCCCCTCCTGCATATCCTCTCCCCCTCCGTTTCTCCCGCCGCCCTTCCCCCCAGGAGCTCCCCCTTCCACGCCCAGCGAATCAGAGAGCTCGATGTTCCCCAGGTCTGCTTGCGCCTGCGCGAGAATCGACCCCCACGCCTCCCCCACCTTCCCCTTCCCCGCCGCCGCCGCTGCTACCAGCTCCGCAAGTACCTTCTCCTCCACAGACATAGCGCCCTTTCCGCCACCGCTGCTGCCCCCACCGCCTATTCCCCCACCGCTGCTGCTGCTCTGCGCCTGCTTCCCCCCCATCTGCCGCTGCTGGCTCCCCCCAAGCGCCCCCGTTCCCCCTCCCCCGCCTCCCCCCCCCCCCCCTGCTGGCGCATCTGCTGCTGCTTCTGCTGTAGCAGCTGTTGCAGCAGATCCCCCTGGGAGTCACTTCCGCCCCTAGGGGAGGCGGTAGAGGTGGGGGAGCGCGGAAGATCAAGCCCCCGACCAGGGGAGGCGGGGGAGTGCGCAAACCCTTGCTGCTGGGAGGCGGGTTTTGACCCTCCAAAGCTCTTTCTAGCACCGTCCGCGCCCGCCCCTCCCCCCCCTGCTCCGCCTCCCCCTCCCCCTGCTTCTGCCGCCTCTGCTGCTGGTCTTGTGCTGCTATCCTGACTGGCGCTAAACGCGGATGCCTCAGGGGCGCTATCCGCCCTGCCCATGCCCACCCCCATCCCCTCATCCGCTCCGCCCTTCCCCCCGCCCAGCCCCCCTGCGCCTTCCCCTCCCCCTCCCCCCACGCCCCCTTTGGAAGGTCCCCCCGCGCCTGCCTTCCAGTTGGGGTTCCGCGAAGAGGACTGGCGGCGCTCCAAGGGGGCTGGGTTGGGGGGCGCGGAGGGGCTGTGAGAGGGTGGGGGAGGCCGGGGAGGAAGATGGGGGGAGAAGAGGGGGGGGGGGGGGAATGGTGCGGAGAGAAGGGTGCGGGGGAGAGCGGGGAGTGGGAGGAGGACGATGGGCTATTCTGGATTGTTTCTCGCGCTTGCATGTCTCGTTGCCTGCTCTTAACTTGTTTCTTTCTTTGCTATTTAACGTCAGAAACGTGTATACAGACCATTGAGTCTCCAAAAGAAAAAGCGCCAACTCAACAACCTCCCTCTTCCCCACGTCTGTCTCATGCTCCCAAAACAACTCCCTTCGCTGCCTCATTAGTCTCACCCCTCTCGCTCACTTTTGTCCGTGCAGCCTAGCAGCCAGAGCCTCGCACAGCAGCATATCCAGCACGCCGCGCTTGTCCCCTTTCCCCTCAATCATACTCCACAACATCGCTGTCTCACCCCCTCTCTCGCTCACCTTCGTTCGTCCCTGCCACCTAGCAGCCAGGGCCTCGCACAGCAGCGTATCCAGCACGCCATATAAGCTGCGTCTCTCCCCCTCCCCCCCTCCCCCCCGCTCTCTTACTCCCTATAATCTCTCCTTACAAGTCTCACCCCATTGACTCACCTTTTTCCCTGCAGCCTAGCCGTCAGAGCCTCGCACAGCAGCATATCCAGCACGCCATACTTGTCCCCCTCCCCCCCTCCCGCCGCCGCAGCTAGCGCCGCCGCAGCAGCTGCCGCAGCCGCAGGGGGAGGGCCTCCCCCGGGCCGGGGGGGATGAAGCGGGGACAGCTGCGCCTGCTGCTGCTGCCGCGGACGGGGCTGCGGGGGCGTTCCCCGCGGTGCTGTGGCCTGTGACGGAACACGCATAAAGAGACACGCAATATAGAGACACGCAAAAAGTGACACACAATAAAGAGAGACGCGATAAAGAGGCGGAAGGTCAAGCAGGAGACGGCACTGTAGACATGGCGAGAGAAACGATACCCTGATTGCGAGCTCGCCCGCATACGAGGGAGCACCATCTTACCCTCGAAAAGTCATCTGATTGCGAGCTCGCCCGCATACGCCAAACGCAGACCCTCATTTCTGCCTACAAACTCATGTGCACGTGCGCGCACGTGGCTTTCGAGTCGACTCAAAAGCCTACAAACTCATATACACGTGCGCGAACGTGGGTTTGCGTACCTGGCCTAGCGCGCCCAGCAACTGATTCAGCAACGCGTTCTGTCTCGGGGAATCCGCAACCGCACCCACTCCTCCTCCTGCTCCTCCTCCTCCTCCTACCGCACGTCCTCCTCCCGCACCTCCTCCTCCCGCACCTCCTCGTCCCCCCCCTCCTCCTCCTCCTCCCCCTCCCCCCCCTCCTCCGGTGAGCGCGGTTACGAGCTGATCCAGCAACTGTTGCTGCTGTTGCTGCTCGTCCGTCTGCTGCCGCTGCGGCTGCTGCGGCGGCAACCGCTGCCCCAGTTGCTGCTGCCGCTGCTGCTGCTGCTGCCGCTGCTGTTGCTGCTGCTGCTGTAGGAGGGGGTTCGGAGGGGTGGAGGGCGATTGCGCCACGCCTGTTACGGCTTGCAGCTCCGCTAGGAGCTGTAGCCTCGCGACTATGTCCTGCACGGAGGGAGACGGCGGGGTGCTCGGCGTTCCGGGCGTGCCAGGCGCCGCCAGTGCTCCCAACGCCGCGGCGATCGCCGCCGCGCTTGCCGCGCCTCCCCCTCCCCCCGCCCCGCCTACCCCGCCCGCCCCGCCAGCCCTTCCCCCCCCGCGCCCTCCGCCAAGCCCGCCGAGAGCCGCAGCCAGGCTGGCTAGGGACTGCCCCTGCTGCCCCTGCTGCCCCGCGCGGGTGACGCTGGCGATAAGCTGGTCCAGTCCGGGGGAAGCAGTTCCGCCCATGGAAAAGGGGGACACGGGGGAGGTTGGCGTGCGCGCGGACGCGTCCGCGGAGCGGAGCTGCACCTGAAGGTTCATGGAGGAGAGGGGGGAATGGGGGGAAGCCACTCCGCCGGCGGCGGCGTTAGAGGCGGCAGCACCGCCGAGAAGGGAGGTGAGCTCGTGTAACACCGTCTGTAGCTGCTGGTCCTGGGGAGACGCGCGCTGCTGCTGCTGCTGCGGCGGCGGCTGCTGCGCTGACTGGGATGCCTGTGGTGCCTGCCGTTGCTGCTGCTGCTGCTGCTGCTGCTGCTGCTCCGGCTGGCGACGCTGCTGGTTCTGCTGGTTTCCCTGCTGCCGCTGCAGCTCCTGCAGCAGCTGCTGCAGCTGAAGCACGTCCTGGGAACGAGAATGAACGCAAGCGATAAAACCGGGACAGACAGACGCAAAAATGGAGAAAAACTGGTTAAAGGCATGCATTTGATTAGCTACGACCAGCATGATAAGAAGCCACGATTGTTGCGGCTTACCTGTGGCGTGCTTCCCATCGCGTTTTAGTGAAATAATCAGACTGCCGTTGCGTTCGTAAGGCCGTCACAGGACACGTCTCGTCGTAGCAGAACGCCGCGAAGTTTGCACTCAGAAGGCCTATGGAAGATCGATAAATACTGACGGATGGCTCCTGCGTATGGCGTAGGAACCCTATAAGGAGACGTGCTGATGCTAGCAGCAACGACGAGAGATACGCGGTTGCTCGAACACGCCCTGGTCGCCTCGAAGCGGCATCGTCAAAGTCGGGCTCACACTAGCGCATTTAGGGAGTGCTAACTGTCACGGATCTTGGGGAATCGGGCACAGTGCCGCTCAGCAGCTCACTGTAATTCACATGGACATTCGAGGAACCGCACTAATGCTCCAAATTGTGGAGCTGAAAATAGCACGTCATTGGTACCATGACCCTGACCTAATAAGCAAGCACAGACATGCTTGGGGTGTGTGAAGCCATTGAGACCCTCGAAGCACAACTAACTGGTTCAACAGAAACACATCAGCAGGTTCAGTTCAGAAATCCAGTTCAGAGGAGCACTAAGCCAAATTGACAAACCAATGTTGGCCTTGGTTGGTGATTCCCGTTCCCCTTGGGAAAGTCCTGTCTCTTGGGACCTGCCCGTCAGGGGCCCCCTGCATCAACCAATCCCCGTTCGAGGACAGTTTTGGTCTCGCTTCAGCAAGCAGCGGGCGGGACCTTTCTGGGCCGACTTGGCTTGGGACCAAACCAAAAAATGCCCGTGAAATTACGTTCGGGAGGCGCGGAGCGGACGACTTCGGGGAGACAGGCGCCCGAAGGTGGCTGGGTGCCACTGCGGAGGCAGCACAGCACAGTAGGACTCGACGGGAAAGGCGGAAAGGCGGAAGGAAAATGTGGGGGTGCTGCCCCTGCCATGGTTGGCGGGGCGGCGGCGACAAGCCCTTGAGAGTGTCCTTGACAGCTGAGCTGATTCGCTTATGGCAGCCACGGAACGTGGCTGGTTGCGACGCTTACAGCGTTGACGACAGGTCACTGTTTTTCGTCAGCGGGGTTCGTGAGGCGTGTACGGAATCTCAATCTCTGTCCACAAGTTCTGCTTATTGAAGTGCGGAGGAAGAACACTAAAAATAGGTTGTGACGGACTTGCGTGGCTCAACAAGGAGAGGAAGAACACGGCACTACTTAGCCAAAAGTTTTTTTTTTTCGCGAAAACAAAACAGGGACTCAGTGGGAGAGGGCAGCCTGAGGCCCACTTGGCAAGGGCGCTTGTCGGAGTCTCGTCTACAGTACAACTGAAAGCACAACACGACAAGGGCGAAACATTTTGCCACGGGGGCCATTGGCTTCGCATTGATCGCTCTGCTGACTATCTCGTTACAGCCAACAGCATATAACAAAAAAGTGCTACCACGAGTGATCGTATAATTCAGAAATACAAACATGCGCACTTCTCTTTGGAGGCTCCTCTGCTCACTAGTGGACATAGAGTCACAACAACATAATTTACAACAGCGTGAGAAGTGGGACCAGCCTTGCAAGTATGGCACTTGGGAGTGCTCAGAGAAAAGGAGCACTCTGGCGTCTCCTCCATTATTCCCACTTCATTTGCCCGTTTATGATGGTGATGCAACACATCCCTAAATGCAGTCTCCGCGATCATTTTCCGTAATACCCCAGCAACCTTGCAAAGCTCAAATCTACCCAATGACTATGTCATCCCCATCCCCACCACTGCCCCAGAACAGCCCCATCAACTCCGTGTCCATGCCCACCCCACACACCTCAAACGGCTCCGACTCCTTGCCCCCTGCAGCCAACCCCTCCTCCTGCCCTGCCCCCTCTCCTCCAAGCCCCTGCTCCTTCCCCACCAGGTGCTGCTTCCCCGCCTGCTCCGCCTCACCCAGGGGTTGCTGCATCCCCTGGTGCGCCTGGTGCGCCTCCAGAAGGCCCATCTCTCTCAGAGGAGCTTCCGCCGCAGCAGTCGCCGCCTCAAAAAAGTCTTGCTGCCCGCCCAGGCTGCCAGAAAGCTCTTCAAAATCATCCAAGAACGTGCCGGAGAGGTCACCGTCCCCCCCATGCGGGGAGGACAGGTCCGCAAGCGGAGCAGCGCCATCACTTCCAATAGTGGAGGCGGAAGCAGAAGCGGAAACAGGCTGCTCCTTTTCGATCCCCCAGTGGACCTTGTCCGCGGGAGCTGTCTCCTGGGCTATGGGATGCGCATGTTCCACCTTATCCCCGCCGGTCTCTCGCATCTGCTCCCTCTTCTGACCCCCCTGTTCCTGCTGATGCCTGTTTTGATCCTTCTCCGATTGGTGCTGCTGGAAGGCCTGCAGCTGATTCACATCAGGGCTTGCCGACTTGCCCCTTTGGTCGTCCGCGTTAAGGAGTTTCTCGACTTCCGTGATCTTGTTGAGGATCTTCGCAATGTGCAGCAGCATCTGGCCGTAGTCTCCTTTCAGCAGCTCGTAATCGCTCCGCATCTCGCGGCAATGCTCCGCCAATCCCGCGTGCGCTGTACGCATCTTGCGCAGCTCCGCCTCCCCCTGCTCCGCCTGCCACTCCAGCTGGCGCGTCTGGAACCACGCGGAAACCTGTCGGGGGAGAAGCCCCAGCTCCGCCGCGAGCTGCCACTGCCGCTCCGCAGACACAAGAACTTGCCCCTCCGCCTGCGACTTTCCCCCATGCGCGGACCCCTCCCGCGCCGATACCGCCGCCTGAAACGCCGCATCAAGCCGCTGTACCTGCGAGGGCTGCGCGCGCTGGCGCTTGCGCGAATCCCCCGTTGGCGTTTCCGCGGGGATTTTCATGCGCTGCGCGGAAAGCCTGGGGGTTAGCGGAACGCGGGGGGGATCTACTGGGCTGCTGCACGTGCTGTCGCTGTCGATCTCCTCGAGAAGCAGCGCCGGCGGGGCGGGCGCAAGGTGCGGGATTGAGGGGGACGCGGAGAGGCAGCGTGCGGACTGCAGCACGGAGTTGGGGGTCGGCGGAACGGCAAGCGGAAGCGTATGCGCATCACCTTGCTCGTCCCATGAGGGCATACGACGCTTAGGGTTGCGCGTGGCGGAAGAAGGTGTCGGCGGAGTGCACATTTCGGAAGGGGGAGCGGAGAGAGCAGAAGGGGGAGCGCAAAGGGCGGAAGAGGGAGAGAAGAGAGCGGAAGCGGGAGTAGACACCGCGGCCGCGAGAATCTTGCGATCTGCGGATCGAGAGGGCTCCCCGCAAAGCGCAGGGGCGAAGGGGGGAGAAAACATCTCCGCATCGAGGTCGCTATCTCGCGGGCGCTTCGCGCCTGTCTTAGTCGTCCCGGGGCCCGCTGCCTTCACGACGGCGGCGGCGGAGGCGGAGCCGGTGGTGGCGGCTCCTCTGACCATATCCAGCATGGGCGACGCGGTGACTGCCGCCATTGTGCGTCGGCGGGATATTGAATCCCAAGGGGAGCCGACAGGCTCTGGGAAACTTTACGGACGTCCTAGCTTGCCTCTCCTATCGCTCAACGGTGAACGAGGCTCGAGAATCGAAGTGCACTCGAGTGTTGAGAATGTTTGATGTGTTGGGATCTGCTCGCCACCATTTATGGCAGGCGAGGATCAAGAACCAGCTTCGTGCAGCATCACCTGACGGAAGCGAGGCAGGAGCTCTGGGTCCTTGAAGAGACAGCGTTTTATGGCTGTGGGAGTCGCGCGATAAGTGTCGCTGGGGGCAGAGAGATTGGGGTGTGGTGTGAGGTGCGAGGCTTGGTTTGGGAGGGGTTGGGGAGATTTGGCGAGATTTTGAAGGAGAATGCACGGACGGAGGGAGGCTAGGTAGGGCGAGCAAGCCTTGGCTGTCAAAATGGCTTGGTTGGGGAGGATGTCAAGTTGGGGTGCAACGAACACAATACTGAGCGAAGCAAAAGTAGGCGCAACAAAATATCGCGCCAGAGACAGCCCCTGCCTTTCTCTGTCCCAGCGTCGTAGCCTTGCGAAGATCCTACCTGAAATTCTTCCTGCGCGGCGAGTTCATTCTTCCGCGAAGGGGCTTCTGTTGGCGGGGGACTTGCAGGCCCTGAGTCATGTGCGCTGCAGGTGGCTGACGAAATGGGTGGCGCAGTCAACTTCTGGCATCCATGGGCAGGCGAAATCTGGCGAAACGAGCTTGGAGAAAGGAAGCGTACAGCTGCGGAAAACCCGCTCTGCCGAAAAGACCTGTGGCAGCTGAAAAGTGACGACCGTACGAAATCTAGAATGGGAGACCCCACATCAGCCTGGATGGGAGACGCCACGGAACCTATGTGTGGATCTTCATAATGTTTTAGAAACGCCAGAACCGTGCTGAACCAAACTGTGCCGTTTCCCAAGTGTATCATACCTTTGCCGCCACTTACGGCCAGGGGCAAAATGAAATCGCGAGGTCTGGCCATTGCGCCACCTGTGCACACACCCCGATTCGCCCTGCGCAGCATGCGGGCGGGAGGCATGGACCCGTGAGATGGACAATTTCCTTGAGAGTTTTGGTTCGGCATTTGGTTCGACCAGATGGGCCAATGTCATGTAGTGAGCAACAGTTTGAGCAGGTGAGCTGAGCAGGTGAGCTGAGCAGGTGAGCTGAGCAGGTCGACGTGGCGACGCGGATCTCTGACATTGGCCAGCAGCCATTCTGATTGGCTTACCACACTGACAGACTTGCCTGCACGCTGCTTTGGGAACGACACGCACTACAAAATGTATCGCCATTGGTTGATGCTTCATGGGTCATACCCCATTTGCATCACATAAAATCTCTGTTCCATAAGTGATGTGTCAACTTCCCTAATACCCAATTCTATCTTCACACTTTCATTTCCCTATTTTCTTATCGTCCCGACCTATAATTATGAGTGGGGAAGCACATCGTACATGGCGCTTGTTCGGCATGCTAACCCAAGTATAGGACACGTTATGGGAACTGTCAGTCAGGGTTTCATACATCAGTCGATATCTGTCTGATGGTCCGAAAGTCAAACATGTTTTTTCCCATTCATCCTATTTTTGGACGAGGTGAATTATTTCGTCTGATCGTTCATCTCAACCATAATTTTTTTACTGAAAACTCAGACATGGTGTAGTTTTTCATATGAAATCTCAAATAGCGCGTACAAATTCGTCTGATACCGACAAAGTCGCTAAATTGCTCATTGCGTCAATGGGGCAATCGGCCACTGGTGTCACGAGAGCTAGGTAACTAGGAACGGTAGGAAGCTATGAAATGGCGTGAGGGTTTAACTAGGAGAAAGTTGACAAGAAAAATGGGGTGGAGAATAGAAGAGAGAGGGATACAAGGAGGGGTGTTGTACCTTCTACAGTAGGTCTCAGCAACAGCTACCAAGCCTACAATTATATAACATATACAATTTAACACACCCCCTAGGCTTGGTAGTAGAAGAACCCACACACACCTACACCCCCTAACCTAACATCCCCCATGCCCAGCAGTAGCCGCGATGACTCCGGAATCGGTCAACACCCACGGCCTGGGAGATGGCAATGGCGGCAGTCGCGGCAGTGACGAAAGCAACGGCGGCGACGGTGTGTGGCGGCAACAAGCCAGCGGCAACAGCCGCGGCGGCGGCTTCAACGTCAGAGGCGAGTGCAGCGGCCCCCGCCCTCTCGGCGGCATGGCCAATCTCCACTGCTGTGGAGAAGGCCCTCACGAGGCAGTCGACGGCTGTGGCAAGGAAGAGGGGACACAAGGGAAGGAGGGAGGGGGGTGGGGAGGGGGGGGGGGGGGGGGGGGCGTGGTCCAGAATCACGACCGTGGCTGGCGAGCGGGCGGCAGGTCTAACGGCGACACAGGCGTTGCGCGGTCGGCTGCAGCCCGACGACGCCGTCACAAAGCGGCGTCGATGCCGCGGCGAGACATCGACGCTGCGACAGCGGCACGACGACGCCGTCACAGCAGCACGACGCGGCCGCCATGGCAGCGCGAGAGGGAGAGAAGGAGTGCGCGGTGGAAGCGTAGGGAGCAGGCCCGGGAAGGGCAACCTGCTCTGTTCTTATGTCACAAGACCTAAGTAGCTAGGAACGGTAGGAAGCCATGAAATGACGTGAGGGTTTAGCTAGGAGAAAGTTGACGAGAAAAAAGGGATATAATAGAAGAGAGAGGGATACAAGGAGGGGTATTGTACCCTCTATAGTAGGTTTTAGAGAGCTACCAAGCCTACAATTATATAACATATATAATTTAACAACTGGCCGACTCTCCGCCCTCTAGTTCCTGGTCGGTGGGCAGGCAGGTCATACATCACGTGCATCGCAACTGCCAGCGTAGAATTTCGAATCCGATTCGGCAACAAACCAGAGTCAGGTTGCTGCCATGCTTTTGACCACTAGTGCGTCACGCGCAGGGCTGTCAGCCTCCTTGCATCTTCATGCTGGCAACAATATGACAGCGCATGGCGGAGCAGCCAAGAAAGCCACCCACCGCGCGCCAACAAGGCGTGCGTTTCGTAATGGAGCTGCAACTTCGTCATGCTGCACTTCGACGAGGCGCCTCTCTGTAAAGGCAGTTTCGGCAGAACCTCGGAATCACTCCACCTGCTCCACCTCTTTCTTCCAGGCCATGCAACATGATGAGCATGGCTCTATTGCTCGGCTCCCACGCTGCCTAGACGCCCTTTGCAGCTCGTTGTCTAGGCTTTGATGGCGTCCGAGACTGCGCCATCGAGCATCTCTCCAGCTACGCAGTCAGCAGTAGTTGCTGAGCCCCCCGGCTCAGTCCCCCTGATAATTAGTGGCCTAGAACTACTCATTGGCATGCTGAACCATGCTGTAATCAACAATCCCCTTTGACCGTACCTAAGGCTCCTCTGTTACCTCTCCCATCGATCGACGATGAACCGTGGGTTTTCTTTGGCAAAGAAAACACCACGTGCGATGCTTTGATCCCTCAAGTCCTGTGACCGACACGTGGTAGTTCGTCCGTGCCCGTAGCCTCACCTCCCCGTAATGCGCGGTCATGTTTTACTTGCCCACGCCCCAGGCCAGATGAAGTACCGACAACACAAGCTGACCTTCGGGCGCCCTTCGTTGGTGCAATCTCCACCCTCCGTCAACCTGCGAGCCCGCTCCTCCAAAGAAGCTTCAGGGGACCCTGCAGATGTCGACGACCCTTTCCGCTTACCGTCCCCGAGCTCCAGTTGAAAGCAAAGGGGCAGTGGCAACGACACTTCCCATGGTTACTGATTTCTGAGACCTCGGAGGGATGACCCTGCATGAGTGCAGCGTCTGTATCGTGTATGGCGATGACCCTAACTACCAGTATGGGTGGAACGACGAAGGGGGGATAGACATTAAACAACAAACGATGTGCAAGCACGATCACATCCAGAAGCACGAGGCGGCGATGGCGTGGAAGGATCAGAAGGATAGCAAGAACATGAAGCAGAAAAAGCATCATCTACTACGAGAATGGCGACGATGAGGCCAAGCGTCTGAAACGTCTCATGGCTATTGCCATTCTTCTCTGCAAGTCTGATGCCCCTGTTCTTTTGTTCGTTTCACTTGTTCAGTTCATGGCACAGCATGGTACACCAGAACTGCCACTGAAGAACAACAGGACGTATCAGAGTGAGTGAGTATTGCTCATGTTGCTTTAGTTTTCAAATTGTCTTGATTTTAAAAAATGCCATTGAATTCTAATATTTGAAAACTTTCGCGCAGGTACGGCTTCAATAAAGTTGTGGAGAATCTCGTCTCCTACCTCCATGCCAAACAGATGACTCACATCAGGGCCTCTCCATTCCTCGGCATCCAGCTCGACGATTCAACCGATCATCACCGTGGTAAACATATGATTGTTTACTTGACATTCCTCCACGACACTTCGGTGGTGACCGAATTCCTCAAGCATCTCATAGTTGAGAAGTGCGAAGCAACTTCTCTTCAAGCTGTTCTACTCACTCATTTGGAGTCTCAAGGAGTTGACCTCAACAATATATGTGGCATCAGCAATAACGGGGCCATTGTGATGACCGGAGCACAAGACTGTCTCGTGGCTAGGCTATGTACTCGGATTCCGCACTTGGTCTCATGTCACTGCATCGCTCATAGGTAAGTATGACCTTCTGCGAATCTGCTTTGCTTCTTTGATTTGTACAATACACAAAACAAAATGGGTTGTTTCAATCACATGCAGGGAGGCCTTAGCGGCAGAGGACACTGCAGATGATGCATACGACTTTCCCGACCTTGGCATCGTCAACAAAATCGTGCGCTCACTGGCCAAAGTTCTTGGTCATTCCATCGTCGTCCACAATCGCTTCAAGGAGCTGCAGGAAGTCGTCACCAAAACCAACCTAGAAATACAAGGCACCCATCAGATTCGTTGGCTTAGTCGTGGTGAGGCTATTCAGCACCTAGTCGAAGTTTTCCCTGCCGCCATGCTCTTGCTGTATGTGTATGAAAAGCGCATGCACAATGTTGTCATCTCGTTAAAGTTCCACTTCTTGCTCTACTTCTTGGCGGATGTGCTGAGAGAATTCAACGAGCTCAACCTCAAGTTCCAATGTCGCCAAGTAAGGTTGCCAATTGATCATCGAAGGTATAGTAGACTGTAGATTATTGCATAAATGTGTCTCCTACTTTGTGTTATGCTTAGCAGGTCGCTGTCAGACAGATGCTTAGGATGGTCTATAACACAGTCACGTCCCAGCGCGCCCGCTACGTCAACTACGGTTCCCAGCTCGGCCCTAATGACGAGGGGGGTTGTGACGATAGAGAGGATTGACGCCCATGGAATCTGCCCCAGATCAGCGAAAGTTTCTTGAGTGGCTGCAGTCTCTGCGCGACCTC